CAAAAGACTTACGGGCAAGCCGAACTAGAGGAAAAGAGCTATTTCTGGCCCCAAGCGCAGTGGCCGACATGCGCGATAACGCAACTGTATATACTCCACCTGTAATACCTGCTTTCTTTGTCCAATCCTACTATTACCAAGTTCAGCGTGCTCTGCATACAGGTCCATTTTGCCACGAGGCCCGTCGACTAAAGAGTGTTCACTGCCAGATTGGGGCGACCTACGCAAAAGTCAGCGGCAATTTGCAGTCGGTGAAATTTACGCGATACTCACGCAATCATACAATGAATTATTCTTATGGAACACATGTTCCCCAAGGCCCGGGAATAGCATTCGATACGTTATCCACGCTGCTGTCATACCTGGCGCGCTAACTGGTCTACAAGTCCTACCGTTATGGCGAGAGGGCTGGCTAGGCTGGTTGGGTTTGCTGCGCGCTTGGACTGAATGACAAGAGGGGGAAACGGGCGGGAGGGCTCCTGAAGCCGCCTAAACTGAGGGTTGGGCAGGACGGGCGGGCTGGGCTGGCTAGACCAGCTGGGCTGGATAGCAGGCCAGGATGCCTGAGTTGGTTGGACGGGATGGGTTGGCTGATTGGCTTGGCTGGCTGGGGGGCACGGAGGGCAACGAAGCGAGCCCGAGGCCACAGACTGGTTGTGGCCATGATCGAAATCTGATACGTTGGACCAAGCCTCCAGAATTGAGACCAGACTAGTCGGGCTGGCGAGGCTGGCCAGGTTGCCAAGGTGGGTCAGGTTAGCCGAGTTGGCTAGGTTGGCTGGGCTGGCCGAGCAGGCTGGACTAACTGGGCTGGCTGGGATGGTTAGATTGGCTTGGCTGCCTGAGCTGGCCAGTCTAGCTGGAAAAGTTGACTGCGCTGGCTGGGCTGGCTGAGGGGTATTGTTGGACGGCAACCGAGGCTACAAAGTGGCTCCAGCAATGATGGGAATATGCGATGTGTGGCAGAGCCCTCAGAATGGGAGGCATGGACATTGTGAAGCATTCGGTTCTCCATGAGAGCTTTTCAAGTTGTGATATACCTCATCACCGTCCTCACCAGCACCATCATCGTCATCGTCGGCGACATGTCACCATAGCCACCGCCGCCGCATCATCTTACTTCTCGCCGTTTGTGCATCTCCCAAAGCGCTGTGGGGCGTTTCCAATGAGCTCTGATGAGTCTCCCCAAGGCTACGGGCATTTCAGAAAGGCCCTGATACAACTCCCAGAAGGCCAGAGGCCTTCCCACACCTTGGAACTCGTCCTAGATGCTGTGATCCTCTCCCGGAACTCTGAGGCCTCTCCAAGAAGATCCGAGCCCACTCCAAGGATGTCGAAGACACGTGGCTGGGGGAGAGACGACGTATCACGAATACTCCAAAAATTGTCGAAGCAACCTAGGTGCACCCAGGCACTTCTAGTTACACCGAGTGGGGCATACTATGGAACTGCAACGCTGGATCCGTCGCTTACTTTTGAAAAGGCCAAGAGAACACACTGCCAACGAAAACAACATCTTCAGCCTGAAAGCCATACGCGGAAGTCACATTTCAAAAACGACTTTTGAAGACATGAGTACAAAACCCGTACGCGAGATTGGCGGCCAAGTGAAGGATAGTGTCGAGGAGAGGGGACGTAGGTGCCGGGGGAGAGCGCCCCTTCTGGAACGCCCGACGGAGTTACGACTGGGAACAAAATCGCACCGCAAACATCCATATTGAAAATACTGAGGCGAATCAAGAATGACACGTTTCCGGGAGAGAAAGATATGAAACATGCCCAGAAACTTGGACTCGGACAGGCTGCTGTCATCGAAAGCCCCGAATGCCGCCCCTGATGCGGAGAAGTCCTCCAGTTCTACAGGTTGCATTCCACCACCACCCTAGGGAGACCTGTAATCACCCTCGAGCCTTCGTTGACATCATGTCCAGTCAACCTTCAACTACAGAAGCCGCTGAGCGTGAAAACCATTCCGCTCTGGAGCCCCCCGTGGCGCATAGCTGCAGGAGATGGCGTCTGCGTCCAGCGCGTCACGATCTGGAGAAGCCGACGGTCGGGCCGCCGCACCGATCATGACACCGGGCGAGCAGCCCGGGGGCACCCCTGCGAAGGCAGCACGCGCAGTCGCTGTGCCTCGACACAGTCGGAACATGACTATAAGAATGCGGGTCAAGAACACCTTCGCCGAAGGCGCAGGGCCCCATGATTCTACGCGGAGAACACTCAAAGGCGGAGGGTCCAAGCACGAGGAACCCCAGAGCACATCCCTCCAAAACTCGGACTGTGTTCAACCCTTGTGTCAGCTGTAGTCTGCTGCGCAGTCTGGTGGTGCCCCGTCTCAGCTTGCGCGTCAGCCGCCCGAATAGAATTTACTGTCTGGACCCGCGGTGCGGTGCACGCGCTTCGGACCGACTGAGCTCCTACTGTGCACTGTGGGGTGGCGAAGTCTCACGTGATCCTAGCATACGCACAATGTGTTTGCACATTCTGGCGTCGCACGGGTACCCAACTATCGTGGTGGGCTTTTGACGACCGCCAGGCATGCAAGATAACAACTTCTGAGCGCCGTCAAAACGTTTCCCTGCGTTCGCCGGAAATCCGTCCAAAAATTCACCGATTTCGGTGTTCGCAAAAATCCCGTCACCAAAATCCTCTTCATTGAAAAGGCTGGCGTTTCTGGCACGACGTCTCTGGCTCAATTCGGTGCGACTCTTGGAGCTGCCCCTGCGCGATCAAACATCTTACGCGAATTGCGAAAACCAAACAATCAAGCATGAGCAAACAATACACGTCATAAACAAACAAAGCGGCACCAGAATGCTGCAGATCCGCTCGGGCCAGTGCGGGCGCCCTCGCTGAGATTGCGGGTTGAGCGTCTTATGGAGCCACGACGCGTGTGAGGGGTGTGCCAAAATGAGCTCCCTTGCCCCAAAACCCCGACGTCGTGATTGTTTGGCAGCGTCGACCCCCAGCGGTCTGGACCCTTTGCCCATGACCGCCTTCTCATCCCGAGTCTTTTTTGACGATCCCGAGGCCCGGTAGGGGCCCCAGGAGGCCGAGAACTGTCAAAAACCGTCCGCCGCGATGTGGTCATGACGCGAGGGGTCTGGGATGGGGCCACGACGCGCGCGAGGGGTGCGCCGCGCGGCCGCCCTGGCCGAGGCCGTCGTGCGCCTCAAGTGGCGGTGGGGGGGGGTACATGCGTCTGCCCTCACGGAGGCCGTCGGTGAGGCTGCTTGCGGGCACGATGCGGAGAGGGCACTGGATCGGGAACCCTCGGATGAGGAACCAACTGATGAGGAACCCGTGGATGAGAATCCCTCGGATGAGGAACCCTTGGACGAGGAACTCTTGGATAAGGAACCCTTGGATGAGGAAGCCGGTGGAGCACCAACTGAGGCCTGGCCATGGATACCACCGTCGCCCTCATCTGATGAAGAATCCTCCAGGGTCTGAAGCCTCCTGGACGCAATCCTTCACGAACGCCCCCACCGCAAGTGTAAGGATAAAAGGTGTGCCGAAGTGAACGAGGCGACGGGCCGTAGGTGGAGCTCCTCTGGGGGCCACGAAACGCCTGAAGTGTGCCGAAATGGACCCGCGTTCGCCATGCAGTCCAGCCCAGAGAGGCCGTAGGTGAAGCTCCCTGTCGGGCCACGAAACGGTGATGGGCGTGCCGAAGTGGACACGCGGAGAGCAGAGGCAAGGAGAGGAGGGGGAGGCGACCCTCCACCCCAGTCTGCGGAGGGAGGTGGGGGCGGGGGCGGTTCCGCGTGGCTCCCTACCCCGGGCGGGTCGGACAGATGAGCGACGATGAAAAACGGGTCTTACGCGAAATGACATAGCGACCTTACGCGGCGGCAAACGCGGGCCGCCAGCGCGGCACACTGCATTGGGGACGAGGGCGCTTACGCGCGAGGTTACGCGGGCAGCTTACGCGCCAGTGTCGGCGAAGACGACCCCGGTTTTCTACGTCGCTCCGATGGGTCGGCCGACCCCGCCAGGGATGGTCCCCTTCTGCCCGCGCTCCGACGAGGGGTCGGCGCCTGTTGCGGGCGGCGTCCAGCGTGTGCAGCGAGTCGCCGAGGCCCGCGTCCACGGTGGCGGTCACGAGCGCCCTCGCGGTGAGCGCGTTGCCTCGGGGCGGCGCCGTGGCAGCAGCAACGGCGCAGGCCGAGAGCGGGAGCGGGCCGAGGGCGGGCATCTCTTGGGGGTGCACTTTTTGCTTCCGCCAGCCTCCGCCGGCCTTACGCCGGCGGAGCCGCCGCCGTTTCATTTCAGCCGCCTTCCGCCGACCTCATGCCACCTTCCGCCGAGGAAGAGATGGCAACTCCTGGGATCCGCGGAGGCAGGGAGGGGCCTTTCTGGAACGCCTTACACTGGCCCAATGGCGGGGCAACGGCGAGGGCAAGTGCCATCTGAGGCCAACTCAGGGTCAAGACTGGAGCCAGCGACTCCTGGAAGCGTGCCGTGGTGTCGTTGATGAAGTGCGTGTCGCACTGGCTCCACTGCTTCGTAAAATGTACGGCCCAAACATCTAGCGGCTGGACAACATCGAGAGGAGACAGACGGTTTGTCGCCATCTATGTCTGCTCGCCTCGGGCACTGGGGCAAGACTCACGATGAGAAGCCGACCACAGTGCATCCCCGTTGATTACACCATGATGGAACCGATTGTTTGTCAGCGACAGCTTGAAACCACAGGCGCCCAGATGCCCAATTACCAAGAGGTGTAAAGACACCCCGCGCTGGCTCAGACAGCTCCCGTGCCACTCCCGAGGGCCCCAGGGAGGGTACCGAGGTGCACGGGCGCCCACGCCTCTGGAAGGTCCACCCGCTGGATGACCAGAGGGATGACCTCAGTTCAGCTCGGCGGCGGCGACGGTGGTGGGCGTCGGGGCCGCGGCGGCGGCGCGGCGGCCGCGGGGCCGTGCCTGGGGCGCGCAGCACCTGGAGCCCAGCAGGCAGGCTGGGCAGGTGCTCGAGCCCGGCGTCTTCCAGCGTCAGCTCGCCACCTCGGCGCAGGACGCGGACGCACACGCCGACGGCCGACGGCCGACGACCGACCGACGACCGACGCCCGACCGACGACCGACCTCCGACGACCCCCCCCCCCCGCCATGATCTCGCGTTTCCCCCCGATCCTCGGGGCTCTCGAAGGCCCCCCTCCCGCGGCCAAAAGCGAGGGGGGGCAAGGCCGGGGGTGGGGGGGGCACCTGCGCGCGAGCACTCGGAAGGGGGCCGAGAACATTGGCATGGGGGAAGCGGCTCCTGAGGCAAACGGGCCCTGGATCCCAGGACCTTCCCCAAGGACGAGATCTTCATCCCGAGTCGTTTCCTGACGGCCCCGGGGCCCGCGGAGGGCCCCGAGAGCCCGGGAACGGCGACAGACCCACCTCCACCCGTTGCCCTCAGGACCCGCTTCCGCCCGCGGTGAGCGGAGGGGAACGACGACGGCGGCGAATACACAACTGCCAGAAGATGGAGGTGGGCGGGCATGCGACCGCAGCCGCGCGGCGCGGGCGTCGCCCATCCGCACGCCCCAGGGACGCCCGCCGCAAGCGGTGGTGCACGGTGGGCAAAGGAGGCGGTGCAGAGGAGGAGGAGGCGCAGGGGGAGCGACGAGAAGCGAGGAGGAAGGAGGGGGGAGGACAAGCTAGGCGCGCTCGCGTCATATCTGACATCCTATCCCTCCCTCCCACCCCTTATCATGGCGCAAATATCCTCTCTATTGGCACATTCGGATATCGTAGCATGGCATATCATTACATGGCATAGCATGGTGTTGAATACCCGTACCATGACATAGGATGGCGTGGCGACGCCCCAGAGTTGAGGGGGGGGGCTTCTGCGGCCCAAAAAATCAACGAGTCGGCACCGAATGTGTAATCACTTCCAAAGATAATGACGCCAGCGCTCCAGCGGGAGCACGATTCGGAAAGAGCGGAAGCGCAGAAATGAGGCCAGCGCTCCAGCGGGAGCACGATTCGGAAAGAGCGGAAGCGCGGAAATGAGGCCAGCGCTGCAGCGGGAGCACGATTCGGAGCGAGCGGAAGCCCGAAAATGAGGCCAGCGCAAGCGTGGAGAGCAGCGCAGCGCCGACTGTATTCCACGCCGCCCCGCCCAGAGGGCTAGAAAAATCACAGCGTCCCCCCGCACCCACCCCGAGAGGGAGAGAGCGAGGGAGAGGGGAGCGAGGAGCGAGGATGGGGCCAGGGAGCCCACATCCTCGCCGACGACGTCGTCCCCGTCGTCCTCGGAGCTCCCGACAGGAGGAAGGGGGACGAGGAGGACGAGGAGCGAGGAGCGAGGAGCGAGGCAGGCGGAGGGGGGGAGAGAGGGGAGGGAGAGGGGGGCAGGGAGAGGGCGAAGCGAGGAGGAGGGAGGCGAGGAGGGCACTGAGCGCCCCGCTCGCGGCCGCCGCGCGCAGCAGCACCGCCGAGCGGTCCTCCGCGGCGGCGGCCTCCTCGGACCTGCACTCGCCGCCCTCGATGCGGCCGCGGAGGAACCTCTTGAGGTTCTCGGCGCTGCCCCGGAGCAGCTCCTGCGGGAGGGCTCCTCCCTCGGGGAGCCGGCTCCTCGCGCCCCGAAACATCCCGAAAGCGTGGCGCGCCGCACCCGTTTCACACCGCACGGCGTCGCCCTGTTTCGGGCCCCTAGGGGCCTTCACGGATCGATCCGGCTCGAGACGTGCAGCCGAGAGTTGGAATCGAGGGTTCCGGCTGCGGTTTTTTTTTACCATGCTGCATTTTCTTGGCGTAGGATGTCAGGGTGAGGCCTGGGGCTGCGCGCTGACAGGGTTGCGGCGTTCAGAGGACTGCTCGGGGGGCCTGCTGAAGCCAGCCAGGGCTACCGCCAGGAAGGCCTATGCGCAGCCCCAAGCCTTCCCAGCCGCTTGGCTCTTCAAGCCGCCTGGATCATCAAAAAGAGACTACTAAGTAAGCCTTCGGCGTGCCATCACATATTCCGACGAGTCTCTGATACAAAATTGATTGCATTCAACAGACTTGCAGTCTGAGCCTGAAATGCGAACCTTGCTCGCGCCAGAGACTGTCAACTCCAATACACATCACGCGCTTCATTTAGTACTACCCTTTTTGGTTTTTGAACTCCTGGAGGCCTTCAAAGACGCCTGGGATTTTCCAGAGACCTGAAGGGTCCACTGGGGGCCCGTTTCGCTTGTTTACTCGAAGAGGGGGGGGGCCTCCTCAGACTGCTGGGGACCTCTGGAGACCTTCACAGGCCTCCAGAGCAATCCTGCGCCCACGATCGGTGTAGGTCGGCGCGGGGATGCCGAAGAGCCAGGAGCGCACACGTGGAGTACGCGCTCGACGTCGGCGGCATTCGGAGGGGCTGGGGCCGGAGCGCACAAGGGCGGCAAGCCTCGCTGGCGCCCCAGACCTGGCCCTGAGAGTGGGGAGCTCCCCAGAAGAAACGCGGCCCACGGCATCCCGAAGGGGACACTGGACGACAGCTTCGGCCAACGCTTCTGTGGCATCGCATGGGAACCTCCCATGACGTCTTGTTGGCTATTGCGAGTCAACGCTGCCCGACGCTTAGTGACGCTAATCAACGCTAATCGGTGCTGCCTCGACGCTAATCGATGCTAAATCGACGCTAATCGACGCTAGTCGGCGCTAAATCGGCGCTGCCTCACCAATCACCGAACACTAATCGACGCTAACGCCCACATGCACAGATCTCGGGCCCAGGACTGGCCTGGGCAGGCCGGGTGTTGTAGAGGAACAGAAACAGCATAATCGAGGTCCGCGCGGATTTCTCGGATCGGCGCTGGACCCCTCTCCCTGGCGCGGAGCGCGCCAGAGGCGCCAGAGGCGCCGGTCCAGCGCCGATCCGAGAAATCCATGCGGAGCTTCGAAAGCGTATGTTTACCTGCCAGTCGGAAGGAGTAGGTAGAAACATGTAGGAAGGCGGATAAAGCAGATCGGGTTCGGGCCCGCCCAAAGAATAACAAGCACAACACAAGCATGTAGATCATCGAAATAGGAAGGCGCACTTGAAGTAGATTGGAATCTGGATGTCCAAAATACCGACTTTCAACGAGCACCGTTGATTTGTTCGTTCTTCGATGCTGGTGCACCAAGTTGGCGCCCCCCCGGTCCTGCTTCACGGTGCGCACGGCAGGAGGACGGACAACCACAGAAACACACACACAGTCCGGCTGGCCGCGGGGCGGGCCCTGCGCCGGCGCTAGGCCTCCGCCCCGCACCCGCAGGCCCATCCTGAGCCTAGCAGCGGTGTGTACGCCACGCCCTCCTGGCTGGGCCAGGAGGGCGTACACACAGCTCCTGGGATCGGGATAAGCTTGGCCAGGGAGCGGTGAATATGCGCAGATTTCGTCGCCCTTGGCCAGGGAGCGGTGAATATGCGCAGAGTTCGTCGCCCCAGGCCGCTGCGCCGCCCCCAGGCGATCTTCGCGGGGGAGGCGTGTACGGAGTGTTGTGTGGCAACTCACGGGAGCCTCCCATGCGAAACGACGCTAATCGACTCTGTCTAACGCTAAATCGACACCAATCGACGCTAATCGAAGCTAAACGGGCGCTATCTCATCGACTACCCGACGATAGTCGACGCTAACGTACTCCAAAGACGGATATACGAGTGTGTGCAAGGCTCCCATGATTTGCTACCAAAAGAGTGAGACCGCCACCCGCGGATGAACCGTCCGCGGGCGTCTAAAGGTCATTCCCCAAGCAGTGCGGGCACTGAGCGGGTCTTTGAAGGGCCCAGGGAGACAAAAAATAAATCGGCACAAGAAGCATTTCAATTCACAGGTTTTCAACTACATATGAAAGCTCAATGGCCATTCTATCCAAAATCTATCAGACGTTATGAACTTCTACGTGCGCGCTCCCTCATCCTCCACATCAACACCATCGCTATAATCGTCATCGTCGCCACTGCCACTGTTATCACCATCATCTTCATCGCCACAACCATCGTCGTCGTCATCGACATCATCAGTATCGTCGTCATCGCTGCCATCTCCGCTCTCAGCATCATCGTCCTGATTATCGCCAGTGTCATCACTGCCACCGTCATCGCCACCATATCCATCACCATCACCATCACCATCGTCGTCGTCATCATCCCACAGTCGTCATCAAGATCGTCATCGTCACTGTCATCGACGGCGTCGTCGCCCTCGTTGGCAGCGTCGCCAGCATGATGATCATCATCAGCAGCACTCGCCCACCCGAGCCATCGATCTGCATAAGAAAGGTCCTCGCGTCTATACGCCAACTGAGTTTTGCCAAGAAGATGCGTGTAGGTGGGATGTTTGCACGAGCATTGGAGGTGGTCACGCGCGAATGCCAGCTAGCTGAATTTAAACCCGTAGATTGCACCACATAGCTGCGAGCCTACAGTTTGGGGTCCGCGCTGGTTACCATGTTTACGTACTTGTCCGCCCTCCTGATGGGGTTCCCTGCCAGCTGGATCCGCTTCAGCGCCTGGTTCAGGCCCAGCTCGGGCGGCAGGGAATTCAAGTCGTTGTTCATGAGGTCCAGCGTCGCGAGATTGGGGGCGGTGTCCGGAAGAAGCGCTGCTGGGAACTCCGATATCTGATTGCTCTGCGCCACCAGGGCGCTCAGCCTGGGGAACCTGCCACCAAGCTCCAGCGACGAGATCCGGTTTGACGATACCTGCAGGCAGTCAAGCGCTTCGAGGCCCGAAATCCGCAAAGACGGCCCCAGCCTGTTGGCGCTCAGGTCCAGGGACACCAGGGAGGTGCGCCAGGCGTGCTGCGGCGGAAGGACGAAGGTCTCTCCGAGCTCCTCCAGCGTGTTGCCAGCCAACGACAGCTCCCGCAGCACGCTGCAGCGGTGGAGGCCCCGCGACGGCAGCCGTGGGCCCAGGGCATTCTGGGACAGGTCAAGCCGGCGCAGCCGGGAGCAGCCCCACTCGTGGTCGGACAGGCCAGCGACAGAGTTCCCTGAAACCTCCAAGACCTCGAGGGAGGGAAGGTCGAAGAGCTCTGCCGGGAGGCACGAGAGCTGGTTCTCAGACAGCACCAGCTCCACGAGCTGCTCCGCGCAAGCCAGCGCCTCGCCTGGAGGCAGGGCCACCAGCTGGTTCTGCCGAAAGTTCAGCTGCTTCAGCGGCAGTTCGGTGAAGAGCTCGGCAGGCAGCTCCTTCGCCAGCGTCAACACACGCCAGGGCAAAGATAACAACGAGTTGCATTGGCGCGAACGACGATAATGACAGTACTGTTGGCGACGAGGTCATACAACGATACGTCGACAATCGCACGGCAAATACAATCCCACGAAATCTCATGAACATGCTCGTTGGAAGCGCACTGCGGATGGCAGTGGTAACGGGAATTGCTCTGAGACAAACGAACAGGACCGATGACATGAACTCCGCCCGGCCGCACCACCAGACGAGTCGGTATAGATTTCCACGCCGCTTATGACACTGAAGCTTACACTTTGCAACAACTACACAGATGGAGGTAATGTAGTGTTCAACATGTAGCCCTTGTCTTTGCGACGCGCACAGCCGTCTTAACAGTTTGCCACAGTTGCAAAGGCAGATGGCGACTCCTCTTCAGAATGGAACTCTCGCCTAGGCGACGCGCACGATCGTCTCGAAAGCTCACAACGGTTACGGGGACAGCGACGGTTTTTTCCCTAAGTGGGGATCGCTGGAGATCGCCTGGGACTCTTAGAAGACCTCGAACTTGAACAGAGGTAACGGCTGCACGTATCCAGGATGGTGCATACCACAACGGACCACGATGAGCTGCACGATGGGACATTATCGCAATCCTCATGCTTCGCCGGAGAGATGCAACTCAGTTCCGCTTCACAACAAGACTCCCGATTGAAAGGCAAGCACATGGGGTGCTGGTCCTTCAAGGGGGGCGCCCCTGGCAGTGAGTGGGCGGCGTGTTGAGACTTGTGAGGAGGGGCCGCGAGGCGGAAAAGTCGACTGCAGCATCGTTGAGGCATCGTGGGTTTACTCCACACCTCACTGGCCCTCCTCCTCCTCCTCTTCCTTTGCCTTTTTCCCACCATCACCTTCATCAGCATCATCATCAGCATCGTCATAATCATCATCAACATCATCAGCATCATCACCTTCAGCAGCATCACGAGATTCCATATATTATTCCTCATCCTCATCATACCTGTCCCTACCCATCATCATCACCATCATCATCATCCTGCGCGTCGTCATCATGAGCATCATCATCAACATCATCCGCATCATCGTCCATTCCTTTCCCTTGAAAATAACTTCCCCCCGTCGCACCCCGAGGCAAGTGTTTAAGGCGGTCTGGGCGTTTAGCCTGAGACTTCCTGACCAACTATGCCCCTGAACCGTCAAATTGAAAGCAGTTTCACATATGGAGAGCGGGTGGGAACTTCACGGATTGAGGGCGGGTCGTTTTCAAAATGAGGCCATCGTCTCAGCGTGGCGCACACTCGTTGGAAAAATCGCGTGACCTTCGCGGATTGAGGGCGGGTCGTTCTTGAAAACGTGGCTCTCGCCTCAGCGCCACGCACATTCGCCGCAACAGAAACCTGCAACAGTTTCACGGATTGAAGGCGCTCCCTTTCCCAAATGTGGTTCTCGCCTTAGCGCCGCGCACATTCGTTACGAATTACCCTGGCGACGCACCCAACCCCTGCGCAATTCTGGGCAAGAGTAGTTCGAGACGAGTTTGGGACACTTTATAAGGGTGTGGTTACGTGGCGGGGCCTTCAATGGAGCTTAAACTCAGCACACCTCTCGCACACTTCGCGCCCCACCATGGACCCCCAAGTGCCAACAGCTGACCTGCGGAAGCGGCAATAATGGGACGCAGGGGCGCAAGGGGAAGAGGCGTCGGGAGTTGGAGGGAAAGCATAGGCATGTTACCTCTAGATCGCGTTCTGGCAGCAGCAAGAAAATATAGCAGCAGGAAAGAGGCGGCTGGTGTGAAGGGGGTGACGACGAGAGGAAGGCAGCGGAGGCAGGGGGACCATGTTTCGAGGCACGCCAGCAAACAGGCGCAGTCAACGCAAGAAACCCGCAAGGCCGAGTTGCTCTGCCAGCACCTGGGACTCTTTCCGGCACGTTTCAATGCGGGAGCTAAAAGCACGCAGGCGCGCCGCGAGGTCCGCGGGCGGCCCGCGAGAACTGAACTGCAGCCCCGGGCCCCGAATCATCAGGATCTCGTCGACCTTCGTGGCCCTGGAGAGCATCACGTGCTGGACCCCCCAGCAGCCCTCGCAAGTGGCGACAGTTTCACAGATCGCAGCCCCCCGGTGATGGCGAGGTCAAATTTGAATCTGCGTGGGACGTCACTATGCTGGACCTCCCAGCAGCCTCGAAAGTGGCGACGGCTTCAGAGATCCCAACCCCCCAGGGATGGCGAGGTCTACTTTGAATCAAACTTTGAATCTGCGTAGACGTCCCTGTGCTGGACCCCCCAGCAGGCCTCAAAAGTGGCGACAGTTTCACAGATCGCAGCCCCCCACGGATGGCAGGTCTAATTTAAATCTGCGTGGGACGTCACTGTGCTGGACCCCCAGCAGCCCTCGAAAGTGGGGACAGCTACACAGGTCGCAGCCCCCCAAGGATGGCGAGGTCGAATTTGAAACCGCGCAGAACGCCACTGTGCTGGACCCCCCAGCAGCCCTCGACAGTTTCACAAATCGAAGCCCTCCAGGGATGGCGAGGTCGAATCTGAATCTGCGTAGGACGTCACTGTGCTGGACCCCCCAGCGGGCCTCGAAAGTGGCGACAGCTTCACAGGTCGTAGCCCCGCAGGGATGGCGAGGTCGAATTTGAATCCGCGTGGAATGTCACTGTGCTGACCCCCCAGCAGCCCTCGACAGTTTCACAGATCGCAGCCCCCCAGGGATGGCGAGGTCAAGTTTGAATATGCGTGGGACGTCACTGTGCTGGACCCCCAGCAGCCCTCGAAAGTGGCGACGGTTTCACAGATCGCAGCCCCCCAGGGATGGCGATGTCTAGTTTGAATCCGCGAAGGACGTCACAGTGCTGGACCCCCCAGCAGGCCTCGAAAGTGGCGACAGCTTCACAGATCGCAGCCCCCCAGGGATGGCGAGGTCGAATTTAAATCCTCGTAGGAGGTCTCTTTGCTGGACCCCGCAGCAGCCCTCGAAAGTGGCGACAGTGTCACAGATCCCAACCCCCCAGGGATGGCGAGGTCTACTTTGAATCCGCGTAGGACGTCACTGTGCTGGACCCCCAGCACCCCTCGAAAATGGCGACAGCTTCACAAATCGCAGCCCCCCAGGGATGGCGATGTCTAATTTGAATCCGCGTAGGACGTCGCTGTGCTGGACCCCCCAGCCAGCAGGCCTCGACCCCTCCCCCCCCCCCGAGTCAACACAGGAGGAGGCAGGAGGGAGGCGGGAAGGAGAGAAGGAAGGACGGAGACCACAGTGCGCTGTCCAAAACGAATACACAACCAAGGAGGGCTTGGGGAAAAAAACAAGAGCTTCACAGAGTGAGGGCGGTTCCTTTTCAAAATGTGGCTCCCGTCTCAGCGCCGCGCACATTCGTTTCATTTGCCAGAAATTCACGGATTCCCATGATCAGCGTAACGGAAATGGTGTTCTGCAAGGGTTCAGGATCATGAGGGCGCAACAGTTGCGTTGATTCGTGGTGTTGGAATCCCAAGAACGGCGTTCTGGCACGATTTGGGATCGTCAAGACGCAACAGTCAGGTTGATCCATAGCGTTGGACTCCCGAGAACGATGCTTTGGCGTGCATCAGGGTCTTCAAACGGTTGTCCTCTAACGAGGCAGTTACCTCAGTGGAAATGAACCCTTGTAGGTGACTATGGAGAGGGAGCTTGCAACAAAAAGGTTGATTCCAACATCGTTGATGACTCTTGGGTTTACGCTCGTCTTCCTCCTCCTCCTCCTCCTCCTCCTCCTCCTCCTCTTCCGTGTCCTCCTCCTCCTGCTCCTTCTCCTCCTCCTCCTCCGCCGCCCTCGCCTCCTAATCCTCCTCCTCCTCCTCCGCCTCTTCCTATTCCTCCTCCTCCTCTTCCTCCTCCTCCTCCCCCCCTCCTCCTCCTCCTCCTCATCATCATCATCATCCTCCTCCTCCACCTCCTTCTCCTCCTCCCTCCCCCTGTTCCTCCTCTTCCCGTCCTCTCCCTCCCTCCTCCCCTTCCCCACCTTCCGCGGCACTTGCACCCGCCCAACTTTGAGACGGAGGTCCCCCTCGTCTAACCAGTTTCGAACATATCCCTACCCCTAAGATCGACGAGCCCAAGGCGATGGCAGTCTTAGGGATGTGCCTTCAGAGACTGAAGGAATATGCGTAAGGAGAGTATCCTACCTCCTCCCCCCTTCTCCCACTCCCCTCTGGTAGCGGAAGGCTGGGCGAAAGCGAAACGAGAAGGGGAGAGCCCAGCGGCGCGGCGGGAGCCGCCCTAGCCCTGGGGGGAGGGGGGACCCTCCTGCAGGGCGTTCGACAGGGCCACGAACGAGGCGCACTCCGCAAGCCGGCAGATCTGCACGGGTTGGCGACGTGCTTCCTCCTCCTCGTCCTCCTCCTCCTTCTCCTCCTCATCCTCCTCCTCCCCCTCCCCCTCCTCCTCCTCCTCCTCCTCCTCCTCCTCCTCCT